GCCCCGGCGTTGCCTCCAGCCAGCTAGCCTTCCCTGCCGCCGGCCTCTGCGTCTGATTATCGGGCTTGAGGAGGAGACACCATCCCCCGCAGCTCCGCGGTTCCTTCAGCGCGGATAAACACAACGGTACATTAATCAGTGCCGGTTGCTCCTGCTGCTGTCGGTCTGTCTGCTCCGCATTACTGCTCCCGGTCAGCAGCAGGTTGAACACACTGAGCACACAGACAGCCAGAGAGGGACAGACAGACAGCCACACAGACAGACAGCCAGAGAGAGAGCGTCAGACAGCGAGAGCGTGAGACACCCAGACAGAGCCACAGTCTAAACAGAAAAGTATTTATCCAACATTCATTAAACGTTATAGTTGATGATTATATGGAAGACTATTACTGCCAGTAGAATAAAAAATAAGATGAAAACTAGCTGATAATAAAAAAAGGTTCAAGTTAAGTAAAAATTATGAGATAAAATCATAATTAACAAGGGTTTTTATGAAGGTTTTTAATCCTTGTTTTGGCAGAAATGAGCTTCCATAGATTCAGGAGCTCTTATATTAAAGGAAAGTGGGAACTGATCAATAATCTGTTACTGTAGTTTTAAGTGAATTTAAAGAATATATTAATGATCACAGACGGAAGATTAAACTGTCCGACTGTACGATCAATCATAATCTTATATTAATGTTTGTTAATATTTATTTAAACTCACATTTATACTGAGTACATAATGAACTGCAGCGGTGGAGACAAACACTGGGTCCTACATTTCCCACAATGCACCTGGGCAGTGTCTTTCATTACAGCCTCCCTCAGGTAAACAGACTTTAAACACATTGTACATTTTTTTATAAGTTTACAGGTTTTCCTGTTTATTTTACTGTTTTTTTCTGTATTTTTTAAATAATTAAAAATATTAATAAAATTACAAAAACATCCTGTAAATTTACATCTAATGTAAAATAACATGGCAAATCTGTAACTAAATAATCATAAAATTACTGATTATTTAAAGAAAACTTAAAATAAACAACAATAAATTTGCAAATCTATAATTTATTCAGACATTTATTGTTTATTTAATAGATTAAACTGTTAAATTCAAACAGTAAAATCAGTGACATTAACAGTAAAAAGTATTAGTTGTGTAATTTTAATGTATTAGTTAGTTAACTGACAGATATGTTGTATAATGATGGAAGTTGAATAAATGTTGTTTATCAGTGTATAAGGTAAACTGTCCAAATACAGTTGTTATCAGTGTAAACAGCAATAATTACTGTAATCTCACAGATAATGACTTTTATTACAGTTCTATAACTTTTAACATTCACATTAAAATAATAACAATCCAATAATAACAGCACTCTGCTGTAAATGTAAGTCTGATTATTGTATTATAGCAGAGTTCACCTGGATTTATTGATCATTGTTTTACACTGTAAATATCTTTAATTAAACAGTAAAAAGAAAAAATTACACAAGATATTCTATAAATTGAAGCTGTTTTTTTACGAGTTATTTTACTGGGTTTTTTTTACAGTGCAAGATGTCTGTCGTCTGATGACATCACGGTGACATCATCGTGTGTTTGCCTGTGATCTGCAGCCTCTGTTTCCATGGCAACTGATGCTCTCTCACACACACACACACACACACACACACCTGTGATAGTAATTTGATTTGACATCTAACAGACCTTGTGAGTGTGAGAGATCAAACAGGACGGGGGGGGAGGAGGAGGAGGAGAAGGAGAGAGGAAGAGGAGGAACAAAGATGAGAACAAAGGAATTCAACAAGACTGGGATCAGGAGATGAAGAGGAAGGAGGAAGTGAGGAAGAGGAGGATGAACGGAGGAACAAAGAAAACAAATGAATCTCATTAAGAAAGTTTTTTATTAACCTTCAATATTATTAAGACTTTTATCTACTTTACTAAAAGCTCAAAGGAACAGAGTGAGGAAGAGGAGGAAGACGAGGAAGCAGCATCAGATTTAAACTGTTGTTTTCAGCCAGCGGTTTGTTTTACTCAGTTTGTCCTCTTTTAATAACAATAAAGAAGATAATAAATAAAGGAGGGAGGAGACAGTGAATGAAAGAGCTGCAGTTCCTGTAGCGTCCACTGGGGGCAGCATTACACTGAGTGAGTATTAAATATTATTTATTGTTTATTGAAGATTAAAATCTCATCAGAAGCAAATAAAGAAATAAAAATTGATGTTTTACTTTTAGAAAAATCTAATTTAATAAAAGATTAAATTAGGGTTAAAAACAGTTAATGAAATATTTTTAATTGTGATTTTAATTTAATTTTCGAGAAGCTAAAATAATGAAAAATCTGTTTGTTTCAAATTAGAAGTTAAAAAGTAAAAATAATCTGTTTTTAAAACTTAAAGATTTAAAGTTTCTTTGCAGGTTTTGACTGCATCCCATAATAATCTTTAATGAATAAAGGCTTTTATATATGTATATATATAGATTGAGAGAGAGAGAGAGAGAGAGACTAAGTGTGTGGTGTCCAATGTCTCAGGTGAGTTTCCCTCCATAAATAAAAGGTAAACAACAGGTAAACAGTGACACAGTAAAGAGTCGTCGGTACATACAGGATTCTTTATTGAATGAAGCAAAATAATGAAGAGACTTTTAATCCCCTTTATGAAAATAAATAAATCATTTTCTTTGTCTCACAGAAGCCTCCCCCCCCAAAAAAAAACCACCTGCAGCTGATTTTCATCTTCTGCTTTATTTTCCAACCAGGAGATTTTATTTTCCTGCTGACCAGAGTTAGTTCAGCCGCTCGCAGGACGCCAAAATAATAACACGAGACGCTCCGATTCATTTTGGCACGGGATAAATGAGAGAGAGGGAGGGAGGGAGAGAGAGAGAGAGAGAGAGAGAGGAGACAGAGAGAGAGAGAGGAGAGAGAGAGAGAGAGAGAGAGAGATAGAAGCTGAGGGGTTAAATAATAACCAGCAGTGCATTTGG